TGACTGAAGGGTGATGGGATTAGGAAGGAAGCGAACCCCATGAAAGAACTGAGGAGAGGGCCTCAACCTGCCTGAGTAAGGTGTTGGGGGCCAAACCTTTCTCCAGATCATGCTAAAGGAATCTAAGAACCTCTGCCAACTGGGCTAAAGTGGGAGAGAGACCCTCCCTAAGGCACCATCGGGAAGGGCCTTCCAGGTGGCATCATAGATGTGCCTTGTGGGAGGTTTGCGAGATGCCAGGATAGTGATGATGACCCTTTCAGGAAGATCAGCCACCTCTAGCCGCTGCCGCTCAAGTGCGACATGGTCAGCTTGAGCCACTGGGGCTCCGGGTGGAGCAGAATCCCCTGATGAAGGGAGATTAGATGGGCTGGGATCCTCCAAGGAGAAGCCACCGACAGGTTGACCAGATCCGCAAACCAGGGCGTCCTTGGCCAATAGGGTGCCAGGAGGAGCTCCGCTCGTTCCTCCAACATCTTCCGAATTACTGCTGGAATGATGGGAATGGGGGAAAGGCATAGAGGAGACTTTTGGGCCATCTGCACTGAAGGGCATTGGTCCCCTCCGCTCCCTGGCAAGGAAACCTGGTGAAGAATCTGGTGACCTGGGCAATTTGAGGAGTGGAGAAGATCCACCTCCTTCTGAATCTGAGGGAAAGGTCCCTGAATAGAGAAGGAGGAATAGACCATTCTGCCTGGTCGACCAGGCTCCTGCTGAGCCAGTCGGCCTGGGAGTTGTTGATTCCGGAGAAGTGGTCCGCCGAGATCGACAACAGGTGTTGCTCTGCCCATAACCCCAACCGTAAAGCCTCTCCCATGAGGGCTCTGGACCTCATCCCCCCCCCCACCGGTTGACATGAGCCATGGCGGCCATGTTGTCCATAAGGACTAGAACATGAGAGCCAGTCACTGAGTGCCTGAAATGCTTGAGAGCTAGAAAAATGGCTCTGAGCTCTAGCCAATTTATGGGAAGGGCCTGCTCTGACCTGGACCAAGGTCCTGAGCTATCTGGCCCTGCATATGGGAACCCCAACCCAGGAGGCTGGCATCAGTGGTTATCACTACCCTGTCTGGGACCCTGAAAAGGAGTCCCTTCCAGATTAACGGGGAACAACACCAATTGAGAGATCTCCGGATTTGTGGCGGGAGCGGGACCTTGATGGATGAGTGGCTGGTTCCTGCTCGTTGGTAGGGAAGCAGGAACCATTAGAGTGGACAGGAGTGGAAAAATCCGTGGCTCTGGAGATATGACAGGGTAATTTGCAGATCCCGATGGGCTACATGGATGAAGGAGAACAGAATCAAAATGTTGTCCAAGTAGCATTGGATCCTCACTGGAAAAGAAAGCAGAGATGCCATCAATGCTGCCAGAACCTTCGTGAAGACCCTTGAAGCCGATGAGAGGCCGAAGGGAAGTGCTCGATACTGGTAATGGGTATTCTGATAACAGAAACGGAAAAACTGGCGATGATGAGGCCAAATGGGGATGTGGAGGTAAGACTCCATGAGATCAGTGGAAGAGAGGAGATCGCCCTCCCGAACACTGTCTAAAAAGAATGCAGAGTCTGCATTTTAAATAGCCTGTATTTTACAAATTGGTTGAGAAATTTTAAATCAAGGATGGTTCGCTACCCCCCCCTGAGGCTTTGGGAACGATGAAAGGCGAGCATAAAGCCCACGTCCCCATTGAGAGGGGGGAACAGGTTTGATTTTTTGCGGGGGGGGTGCATTAGGAAGTCCAATTGTAATCCTGACCTAATAGTGCTGAGCACGTAGGCATCCGCCGTTGACTCCTCCCATTTGGAGGCAAAGAAGGCTAGGCGACCTCCGATGGGTGGGGAGAACGAGGGATTACTTAGAGCGACGGCAGGAACAACTCCCACCCTCCCCAAAGGGCTGTTTACCAGTATAAGGAGCTGGGCGATAGTCGGCTCTCTTCCCAGAGGAAGAGAGAATTTTACGTTTATCTCTGGTTTCGATGAGATAAGGTTCCAGAGCATAGCCAAAAAGCTTATCGCCCGTGAATGGAACTGAAACCAGCTTCCATTTACGGCGTGACTCCGCCTGCCAATTTCTGAGCCATAACAGTCTTCTTGCTGCTACTGAAGATGCCATGGCCCTAGATGCAAATTTGGCGGAATTGAGAGTGGCATCTGCAGTGAATTCCGCCGCTGCGATAATCTTATTAAGGCCTTGGTGAGACCGAAGGTCAGATGTAGGCAATCTAATCTGGAGTTGGTGCAGCCACCATATGGATGCCCACGTGAGTGCCAGAAAATGGGAACGAGGCCAGAACCAGAATGTCAACAGAAGGCACTGCCAGGGAATTGTCCAGGGCTGCGCTGATGTTGTAGAAATGCTTATCCAGAGAAGATGGGCGAGGACCTGCCGAAGGGGAAGCGCACTGTTCCTGGACCATGTCCAGGAACAAAGTGGCAGAAAGCAAAACCCCTGCACGCACTACAGGCTTGGAGAAGAATGAGTCTCCCTGGCTAGAGGGAATTCCTTGTGGCTCGGGAGCCACTTCCTCTGGCGACAGCTTGGCAGTGACCAAGGCCATGCTGAGTAATGGCCTGAAGAGAGAAGGATTGAAGACCAATGCAGAGGATGTCTGCTCTGGGTGAGAGTCCTCTTCCTCTGAAGATTTTGGTTAAAGGTCTCGCCCTCTTCACGTTCTGAATGAGAGGAGTAACTGTGTTCAGATGGTGAAGCCCTTCCCTCCTCTCATCAACCTCCTCCCATTCTGGTAGAGAAGAATGGACCCTGAGGTCCTGGGGCCTGTGTAAATCAGGGTGATTAGGCAACTTATAGATTGAGAAGGGAGAAGGGCCTGAACCCTTTCCTGAGGTCGAAGGATTTGCTTGAAGCCCTCAGCCAATCCCTGCCTAATGGCCAATGAGACAACATCTTGGATATCCCCTAGTCTATGCTCAAAGGTAGAGGCAGAAGGCTGAAGGCCCGCTGCTGAGAGAGTGAAGGCCTAGATTGAGAAGAGGTTCGAGGTCTGGAGGGAGGGGGAGGAGCATAGGGCCCAGAAGCCTGTTGGAAATAAGGCCCAGATCTGCTTAGATCCTTGTAGGATCATTGTACTACAAAAGCCTTAGGAGACCAGGATGGAGGATGGAAAGGCTCATAGATAACTTCTTCTCCCCTGGGAGGGCTTGGCTGGGGCCCACAGGTATCACCTGAAACATGATGTAGTTGCACTCCCTTCTGTTGAATAGTTCTGTTGAACTGCCTCTCTAGGGCTGCATGTCTGCACTTTTCTGCCCTCAACTCAGCCTGAGTTGCCTTCTTAGGGGCTAGAGCTTTAGCTCTGATTTTAGCAGCCACCTCCCTCTGGACTGATTGGGTGCGTTGCCTACAACCTTTTCTCTTATTGGCTTAAGAGACTGTTCCACTGGAGGGGGGGACTCTGCCTGACCCTTATCTTGCTCCATTTGCAGAATAAAGGCTCTTACGATGGAAAGAAACTGTTTGTAAATTTGTTGGATTAAGCCCCTTAGCGTATAAATTGGCCCCCGGTCTTACAAAATGGCCGCTCACCTCGTGGTGGAAGGCTTCAATTCAAGATGGCCGCTGACTATGGGAAACAGGCTCCGAGATCGAAGAATTTCTCCTTAGGCTATAAAGAGCCCAGAGTGAAGTCAGCAAAGGAAAGGGCAGCCTCTGGCCACACAATCAGCTGGCTGACACTGGTATCGGTTTGCCGATCGCTTTTTAAAACCGCTCAAACCGCAGGCATGGGGGAGGTCTACAGACGCTGCCCAACTTGCCTGAACAGCACTCTGGCAACGCTGCTCCCAACGCTGCAGGAGAGAGAGCCTGCTCTCCTGGAAGAGCAGCTGCCCAGATCCTGGGAGCTGCTGAAGTGAGGAAAAAAGGTACTGAAGATCGCTGGTGAGTGCTATTTACAGACCCTCAGCTGGCTGAAGCTGTTGTCGGTTTGCCGATCACTTTTTACGACCGCTCAAACTGCAGGCGTGGGGGAGGTCTACAGACGCTGCCCAACTTGCCTGAACAGCGCTCTGGCAACGCTGCTTCCAACGCTGCAGGAGAGAGAGAGAGAGCCCTGCTCTCCTGGAAGAGCAGCTGCCCAGATCCTGGGAGCTGCTGAAGTGAGGAAAAACGGTACTGAAGATCGCTGGTGAGTGTTATCTAACAGAAGCGTTCAGAGACACAGCTACTGACTGAAAGGAGCTGAGTCAAAAGCTGGGGTCTCTTCCGGGGGCTGGCTTTTATATCTTAGTACAGACTCAGCTAAATGACGTCATAGGAAGGAGTCAACCCATCCTGGGCTCTCGATGCAGCATGGAGGAGAATAACTTTTAAGATTCCTTCCCACCCTGATGTTCTATATTCTATACTGTTGAAAAATCATCAATAGTGTTGATAGAAATAAGTTTTAATTATGTATTTTTCTTCACCCCAACTCCTTCTTTTAGCCCATTTTGTTGAGTTGATTTGAGAGAGAGAGTGTGACTAGCCCAAAGTCACCTAGCTGGCTTTCATGCCTGAAGTGGGATTAGAACTTACAATCTCCTGGTTTCTAGGACAGCACTTTAACCACTACATCAAACTGATTCTTAATTATCATAAAAACAGTCATTTTAAACTAACATAATTTTTTATATTATTGAGAAGTGACTTGAATTGATTTTCATTTTAAATATCTTACACCACTTTTTAAGGCAAAGATAGTTTACAAGTTCATTTTTATAAATAGACTAAAAAATAATGCCATCCTACTCCATTTTCTTTCTCCAATGGACTTCACAAACGTCTTCCCATTATTTGTGATGATAATCACCATCTACAGAACCTTCATAAAATAGCCTTGGGAAAATTGGATTCTATTTACTTCAGAATATTTCTGGGAATATTTTAGGGAAATAGGTATCTTGGTGAAGTGACCTGTTTGACTGTTAGTATTTGTTTGTTTCCTCTTACAAGTCAGTTTTAGTAGCCACAGCTAGATAGAAGAAGTTAAAAGTACAATACCTCTATCTTAATTCTTTTTGGTGACAGTTCATCCCTTTCTCCACATTTAGACCTAGGAGATGAAAAGATATATATTTTTAACAGGAATGTGTGCATATGTTTAGAAAAACTATTGCAAAACACCTGCCTTGGAAATTATGCCTCTCTGAATTTATCTTCATTTAATTTATTCATTAGCTTCTTTGTTCATTTGCACCAATTTTATACTGTCTCAATCTGGGAGTCTTTAATTTTAAGACAGCTTCACAGTTAGGCAATGTACATGTAATGGCCTTGAGAGACAAGAGGAAGAGCTGCTACCAAGACAGTGGCCAGATAAAAGAAACTTAACTTTGGTGTACGTATAACTCTAACTTGAGAAAACATCTCAGACAAAACTCTCCCTAGTTCTTATGAAGATAAAGGGAGGGAGGGGGAAGCACATCGAGACTTCAAGGTAGACCAGACTAGGGAAGGTCTTGTCTAAACATTGTCTCATGTTACAGTTCTACTCTGAACTCAGGTTTCTTCTAACTGAACACCGTCTTAGTTGGGACTCTTCTTCCTGTCCTTCAATACATTAGGTCCACTAGCACTGGATTGCACCAACTAGGGCAAGGGGAGAGAAAGTGACTTCCTATAAGCAATCCTCCCTAAACATATGACAGATGAGAAAGATTTTTACCCTCTCTGGGAATACCCAAATAGTCTT